CACACACACACACACACACACACACACACACACACACACACACACATACACACAAACACAGGCAAACGCTAGTAACACGTAATATAAGCGTGTATACGAGTAATACGTATAAACGAGTATAATACGGGGTTCGAACCTGCTTGGGGAACCTCGCTTTCCTCCTTCCCTCCTTCCCCCGCGAGCTCCTTCCTTCTCTCGCCTCTCCTCTCAACACCAGACTCCTCTATCGCAGCAGCTTCCTTCTCTATCGTGTGATCCGTGGCGGATTCCCCGGGCAGGCTAGCAGCAGCAGCTGCAGCAGTAGCGGCAGCAGCAGGAGCAGCAGCAGCAGCAGCAGCAGCAGCGGGATCGGCCACTGTTGTCGGCTGCTTCTTTTCGCGCATTTTTCTGATTGGCGGCTCGTCGAGAACGATCGTCAACGGCGCATCCTCAAAAGATTTTCTGATTGGCTGCTGCTGCTGCTGCTGCTTCGCCTGCAGCGTTCCCATTGGCTGCTGGTCGCGCTGCGCCTCCTTCTTGCGACGCGGGAAAGACGCGAACTGCGTCTCCGGATCCGGAAGCATGGAATCTAGCTCCCCCTGGTGGACGCTTGGCAATTCGGCGGCGGATTCAGATATGGTTTGTTGCTCGTCGCCATTTTGTTGTATGAGCCCCTGTAGCAGTAACGCCAAGCAATTATTATTGTTATATTGTTGATATTATTGATATTATTGATTAATATGGATTATTATTGTTGTATTATTGATATTATTGATATTATTGATTAATATTGTTATCTTATTGATATTATTGATTAATATTGATTATTATTGTTATATTATTGATATTATTGATATTATTGATTAATATTGATTTTTATTGGTATATTATTGTTATATTATTGATATTATTATTACATGCACGCCGCGCGCGCGTACCTTTACATAGTCGATGACTTCTTCGAGTGAAGAGGACGACTCCAAAATCTTGCCCTGCTCCTGCCTCATCGCAGCAACCTGCGGCGCTGACAGCTGGCCACACGTCGGCTCCGACTGCCCCTCACGGGCCCCCTCTTCTCCCCCATCTATGGCAGCAACGCGACACGTCGTCGTGGCAACCGTCGGCACGCCCGCCATCGTCGTCTCAATCATCGACGAATCAGGGCAGCCACCAGGGGGCGTCGTCGTGGCAACCGTCGGCACGCCCGCCATCGTCGTCTCAATCATCGACGAATCAGGGACGCCACCAGGGGGCGTGGCGGGGTCGTCGGCGACGTAGAAGCGTGCTTTCGATTCGCTGCCGACGAATCTCGCAACCGCTCGCTGCGTCTCCTGCCGGATCGCCTCGCTCAGCAGCTGCGCCCCCTGGCGGAGGTCGGGCGCGTCGACGGCGTGCGCCTGCTCCTCGCCGAGCGTCGCAAACGTGTGCACGAGGCCCTCTAGCGCCGGATAGGAGAAGCTAGGAGGCGCTGCCGTCGGCGTGGAATCAGAGTCGGAGGCGGTCGTCATGGCAACGGGGGCCGGTGACTTCGCCGCCCCCGCCACCGCCGCCGAGGAGGAGGATGAGCAGGCGGTGTAGATTTGAAGTTTTAGGCCGGCAGGTGGCGCTGGTTTCGTTTGTTGTACGCACTTGGCTTTGCTAGCTGTGTGAAGTGAGAAACAGTTACAGGTTAGATGCAGTACACGAGCTTATAGCAAAATACGGGAATGAGTCAGAGAGAGAGAGGAAGAGAGAGAGAGGGAGAGCTCTCTCTCTCTCTCTCTATATTTCTTCTCTCTTTCTCTCTCTCTCTCTCTCTCTCTCTCTCTCTCTCTCTCTCTCTCTCTCTCTCTCTCTCTCTCTCTCTCTCTCTCTCTCTCTCTCTCTCTCTCTCTCTCTCTCTCTCT